AGTATCATGTGTTACTGCAAAAATTCTTCCATAAAAATATTTTAATAAATTATATGTTTGTCAGTATTTTAAATTTTTACTAAACATATATTCACTTATCAAAACTTTATCTATAACTTTAACGAAGTAAGATTGAAATAATATTCATATAACAAAAAAACACGAAATATCCAAAAAAAACCAACAAAAACGAACCAATCGAAATCGATATAGTTGGTTTAGTTTGAATTTGATAAAAACGGAACCAACCCGGTTCATGTACACCCCTATTAAACGTGTTGGCACGCGTTGCTCCCATTGGCCATTTTCCCTTATGCGGGGTTTGCACTGGGGGGTCCTCCTAACAAACTTCTGCTTCAGTTTATGGTCCTCACTTTGACGAATACTACGTATTTGCCACTTGCATCATTCAACTCGCTACTTCTTCTTTGTTTCTCTATGTAAATTTGAATAAATTACAATTCTTGTCTCAGGGTCGAAGATTTTAAATTGCCAAATTCAGGAGAGTAATCAAAACAAACATAACTTGGGTCTGCTGAATAATAAAATCATGTTTATTGCGTGTTGATGCATTATGCCTATTAGTTTTTCGAAATCCTTCATTAATTGATGTATTTTGGTATAATGATACCTCGAACTTTGAGGAAACAATTCATTCTATACTGATGGAAGGAAGCAAAAAATCTGTCAAATAATTGAGGTATGCACAAGTAGGAGTAGACACCAACTTAATAAAACAACACTAAAAATGAAAAAATATTATCTTTGCTGCATGTTATCGATGTTAGACTTAAAAATAGTTTTAGCATGGAAATTAAATAACATGTTAATTTAAAAAAAAGGAAATCGCTTTTACAAGGATAAACTTTACAAATCACCATTTTTCAGAGGCTCTATAATTGAAAAATAGATTGGGACAATGTGTAGAAGAAACAGCTGTACAGTTTAGTAGTTAATTTAATACTTTGTAATTAGATGAAGTTAGTAGATAAAAAAGGGTTAGTTAGTTAGTTAACAGTATAAATAGAAGTTAGTTATCTATACAGTAGCTCCTAAGAATCAGTTAGAACAGTTGTTTTCAATACAGAGAATGAAGCTCTCATTTCTTCTTCGCCGACTTTCTTCTTCTTCTGCCATGGCTACCTAGCTCAACATGGTATCAGAGCTGCAAGGCTAGATCGAGTAACTCAGCAGCTTCAAGAGAGGAAGATAGTTGGTTGATAGCTTCCTTTCTTCTGTTCCTTTTCAGTTTTTCTAGTTTTTCTAGCAAATTCCCTGAAGTTAGAGTTTGTCTGATTAGTGTTAATTCCTGCTGAAATTGAGTCATTTACGATCTAAATCATCTCATTTAGAGAAGAGCGATACGATCTACACTATCTACAATGGCAATCGATGATGGAACCTCGACTTCAACTCCTCCTATGGCGACTGCAACTCAGGCTCAAGCACTATTTCCTCCAGATCTGGTACATCACAATCATCCTCTGTATATTCATCCTTCAGATACTCTAGGATATGTTCTTATCTCAATTCAACTTCAAGGTTCTGAAAATTACTCAATTTGGAGTTGGTCAATAAAGATTGTACTGCATGGTAAAAACAAACTAGGTTTTGTTTTAGGAACCTGTAGAAGAGAAATGTATGATTCTACTTTGCATGAACTCTGGGACAGGTGCAACGCTATTGTTCTAGCCTGGATAATGAACACAGTATCTCCTAGTCTAATTATTACGATTTATGCATCTGATGCTCATAAGGTGTGGGAAGACCTCAAAAAGAGGTTTAATAAAGTGAATGCCTCTAGAGCTTATTATCTGCATAAAGAGATTGCTGCACTAACCCAAGACATATCTTCTGTGTCTGTGTATTTTTCGAAACTTAGGGAACTGTGGGATGAGTATGAAACACTAGCTCCTCCTCCTTCCTGTGGATGTCCAGAATCTGTCAAACATGCTGAACATTATCAATTGCAAAAGCTATATAAGTTCTTAACAGGACTGAATGATTCCTATGAGAATTCCAGGGATCAAATTCTTATGACAAGGCCTTTACCAAACATAAACCAAGCATATGATATGATAGTAAATGTAGAAAGCCAAATGAGAAGTGGAAGTGGTGGAATTAATGCTAGCATCAGTGTTGATGGCAATGATGCAACTGCTCTACTAAGCAATAGAGGAAATAACAATGGCAACAATTGTGGCGGTGGTAACATCAATTACAAAGCTAAGACAAGCTACAGTTGTGGAAGGTTTGCACTTCAATGTGACTACTGCAAGTTTAAGGGTCACACAAAGGACAGTTGCTACAAGCTGCATGGATATCTAGCTGATTTCAAATACAGGAGGAAGGGAGGCACTCCAAACACTTATGCTAACAATGTGTATGGTGCAGGAAATCAGGGATTTGAAGCTCAAGGATCATCTCAACAAACAACACTTGCTTCTAATGCAGCACCACCAGCTCTAGTTCAGCTCTTCACTTCAGAACAATACGATCAGATTCTGCAAATCTAAGCAAAGGAAAAGAGGGAGAACCTGTGGCTAATGCAGCTAAAGTGGGAACAACAGGTATTCCTACTGCTCTAATGTCTAGTCTAGGAAGCCATAACTGGATAGTAGACATAGGGGCTACAAATCACATGGTACATCAGTTAGGCTTGCTTCACAAATTCAAAGAATTGTCTCAAATGGGTAAAAATAAGGTACATCTACCTATTGGAGAGCAAGTGATTATCACTAAGACAGGAGAATCTCATATATTTCAGGACAAAACAATTGGAGAAGTGTTATATATACCAGAATTCAAATACAATCTATTATCAGTATCAAAGATCACCAAGGAATTACAATGCTGTGCAGCATTCTTTCCTGACTTCTGTGTGTTTCAGGAACTCTCAAGCGGGAAGGTGATACGGATTGGTAGAGAAGAGAATGGCCTGTACATTCTGAGGAACAGAGGAAACTTACAGTAACTCTCTGAAAATAAGGATGTTAGTATCAGTCAATCATCTGTAAATACCGGTTCAATAAGTGAAGCTAGTTCCAATAATAGATCTAAGATTGTTGATTTGTATCTTTGGCATAGAAGACTAGGACATGCTCCCTTAAGAGTGTTGAGGAATATTGAAAGCTTGTGTAACTCTCAACTAAATAATCACATATGCTCTATATGTCCTATTGCTAAACAGGCAAGACTACCCTTCCTTATAAGTACTACATGTTCTACTAAGCCTTTTGATCTTGTGCATGCTGATGTATGGGGGTCCTTATAAGGTTCCCACACATGATGGTAGGATATATTTTTTTTTACTCTAGTAGATGATATCTCTAAATATACATGGCTCTTCCTAATGCCTACTAAGGCAGAGTCTGTTGTAGTGCTAAAAACCTCCTAATATATGTCAGAACTCAATTTGGCTGTGGAGTGAAATGCCATAGAATAGATAATGGTACAGAGTTCTTCAGTGATCAGGTGAATACTTTGCTTAAGGAGTGCGGGACTGTACACCAAAGTTATTGTGTGTATACACCACAACAAAATGGTGTTGTAGAGAGGAGACATAGGTATATCCTAGACATGGCAAGAGCACTAAGATTTTAAGCCTTTGTACCCTTAAGGTTTTGGGAAGAGTATGTATCCACAGCTGTATACCTGCTCAACAGATTGCCTACTGTGTTGTTGAAAGGTAAGTCACCTTTCCAGAAGTTGTTTAACAGAGCTCCTTCACTACAACATTTCAGAGTATTTGGTAGCCTGTGCTATGCTACCAATGTCAAGAAGGGTGATAAGTTCAGTCCAAGAGCAATTCCAGCAGTCCACCTTGGATATTCCACAACTCAGAAAGGATATTATCTCTATGACTTAGCCTCCAAGGAGTTCTTTGTATGCAGAGACACTGTCTTTCAAGAAGACATCTTTCCCTTCAAGCACACAAACAATGGTCTTTCTCCTATATTCCCTGTGGTGCAATTGGTTGAACTTGATCCTCCTGAGTCTTCTACTGTGTCTTCTCCATTACATCCTCCTTCAAACTTCACTTCTGATGATGCTTCTCAGTATCTTCCATCATCATCTGCCAGGGATCCCTCTCCTCAGCCAGTACAACCTAGAAGATCCTCAAGGGAATCAAGGCCTCCTTTATGGATGGGAGATTATATTGTTCAACAGAAATCCTCCTCTTGCCCATATCCACTGTCCAACTATATGACATACGACCATCTCACCCTGCTTACAGGGCTTCTCTAGCTGCTTATTCAGCAATTATAGAACCCAAGACCTATGCTGAAGCCAGTATTGATCCATTATGGGTGGATGCCATGAAGTCTGAAATTTTAGCTCTTGAGAGCAATAACACTTGGACTGTTGTAGATCTTCCTCCAAACAAAGTTCCTATAGGGTGCACGTGGGTGTTCAAGGTCAAGTACAAGTCCACAGGAGAAATGGAAAGATATAAAGCTAGGCTGGTTGCCAAAGGCTACAGCCAGCAGGAAGGGTTGGACTACACTGAAACATTCTCCCCGGTAGCTAAGATGGTCACAGTCAGGTCTATAGTGGCTCTTGCTGCTGCTTCTCATTGGTCTGTGTTTCAGATGGATGTTCATAATGCATTTTTGCAGGGAGATCTATGTGAAGAAGTCTATATGCACATTCCTGATGGCTTTTCAAGCCAGGGAGAGTATCAGAAGGTGTGCAAGTTAAATAAGTCCTTGTATGGACTTAAACAAGCTCCTAGACAGTGGAACTTAAAGCTGACAGAAGCTTTAACAGATATAGGATTTGTACAGTCACACTATGACTATTCCTTGTTCACACACAAGAAGGGAGCATATTTGGTGATTGTACTTGTTTATGTTGATGATCTTCTTGTGACTGGCAATAATCTAAACTTGATTGAGAAGGCTAGAGAGGACTTGCAGAACAGGTTTAAGATGTAAGACTTAAGGGAATTGAAGTATTTCCTTGGCATAGAATTTTCAAGATGAGAGAAAGGCATCCATATGTGTCAGAGGAAATATGCACTCGAGCTGCTGTCTGAGTCTGGTCTATCAGGAGGAAAACCAGCACTCACTCCACTGGAATTCAATCACAAGCTTACTTCCATAGAGTTTGATAAGTTGTTCAACAAGGAGGACTTGTCTGATGACAGGTTGCTTGAAGACAGAAGTGGCTATCAAAGATTAGTAGGAAGGTTGTTCTATTTGACCATGACTAGACCTGACATAGCATTTATGGTACGGGTTCTGAGTCAGTTCATGTATGCTCCCAAACAGTCACATCTAGGTGCTGCTATGAGAGTTATCAAGTACATTAAGAACAATCCTGGTCTTGGGTTATTTCTACCATCAACTGGCAGTCAAAAGCTGGTTGCCTTCTGTGATTCAGATTGGGGAGCTTGTGTAGAGACAAGAAAGTCAGTTACAGGTTATGCTGTGAAGTTTGGAGATGCCTTAATCTCCTGGAAATCAAAGAAGCAAGGAACAGTTTCACGAAGCTCAGCTGAAGCAGAGTTCAGAAGGGGTTAGTTAGTTAGTTAGTTAACAGTATAAATAGAAGTTAGTTATCCGTACAGTAGCTCCTAAGAATCAGTTAGAACAGTTGTTTTCAATACAGAGAATGAAGCTCTCATTTCTTTTTCACCGACTTTTTTAATTTCTTCTTCTGCTATGGCTGCCTAGCTCAACACAATGCTTATTTTTCAAAGACGGGGTAGAAAGTGACTAATAATGAGTGCTATTTCTACGTTTTACAAGCCAAAATTAGATACACTCGTTTCATTTTTCCACTCCCCAAACGACTACTGGACTTATTCGTTCCATTAATTCAAAACTTCATTTCTTCATACTGTATATATATTTTCAAGAGTCAATTTTTAGGTCTTTTCAACAAATCTAATTGGTATCATTTTCATTAATCTATTTTCAGTAATCTGAAGTTATCTCAACCCCTTCAAAATTCTAATCAAGTATTGGTCAACTGAAATATCAAGTTTGTAGCTTGTCGACATGAATAATTGATACTGCACTTGGTGATTCAAGTTCCAAAAGTGCAGGAGGAGTATGCTAATGCGTGTTAACGTGTCCCTTTTTTTGGTGTCTGCTCGTTGTCTCGTATCTGTATTGGCACCGACCAATTTAGATTTGTATCGCGTAAGACCTATTAAAGGAAAAAATACTCCCTACAGAATAATTTTTATTTTCGAGGCTCAAATTTGAAACTTGATTAAGGAAAAAAGAATCTATTTTATCTCTACAACCCTTGGTGGTAGTTGTCGTGTCCCTATTGAGCACCTTCGTTGACAAACTACAGACCAAATGCAGCTTACACAGAAGTATTTTAGATTTTATAGCGCTCAATGTTTGACAAACTTAAAGTACAGAATAAATTAATCACTTTTATAAGACCCGTGAATCAAGTCTGAGATACTTAAATAGGTATAGAAAATAAGCAAAATATAATGATGGAATATTTAGTTCTGTTGTAAGGCACTTCGATCGATTTACCAAATAGGCTCATCAAGCAACAATTTTAATTACAAAGAAAGTTAAAAGACGATGCTGAAAGTTTAGATATTTCTCAATGACCCTACCTAACAGTTATTTCATCCTAAATTTAGTTTCCAATTAAGAAGTCATTCAAGAATGATATTTATCAAAAATTACATCCTTTATTAAAGCTCGTCATATTAGTCAACTTGCAATTTTTTTAAAGGTTAAGGTTTAAACATGTGATTTGGTTGACCAAATATGATACTCCTGTAAGGAAACAAAAGAAAAATAAAAAAGAATATAAATGAAATAAAAGGATAAGTAAAATATTTCATTTTCAAGTCGAAGTATATATTTGTTGTTTCTTTTGTATGCATTATTAAAAACTTCTTAGAATAATGTTTCAACTGTGAAATATTTGAAATCATTTAGAAAGTCAAATTAAGCAGATTGAGTTAAACTCGATATACATAGTCCAAAATGACTTAGAGCCCGTTTGGATTAGCTGATTTCAAGTAGCTGATAAGCATTATGTGCTGAAAAGCACATTTAAATGCTGAAATTGATTTAATAAATAAGCAATTACGTGTTTGGGTACAAGTGTTGAAATTGATAATTAATAAGTTGCTGCAGTATTTGATAAAAAAAAGGGTTGATAAGCTCTTTTTCTGTTAAAATGAATTAAATAACCTTAGAACTGTTTACACTTATAAGGGCGTAATTTCTTCAAACTTTTAGATTCCAAATCGATTCAAATATAAAATATTCTATTTGTCATTTTATTTTAAATACAACTATGCTTAGATAAGATAATTTTATGATAAATATAATTTATTTTATGATAAGCATATAATCATAAGTTATAATAATTAATAAATTGATAAAAGTTTCTCAGTAAAAAATAAACCTAAATAGGACAAATTATTTGAAGAGAAACAAATATTGTCTTCATCACCACAACACTTAGAGGCAATACACCAAAAATTTGATATGACCTTATTTATTATATAAAGTTCAAAGATTAATACACAATCACATAGATATAAGTATGCAAAGAGAATTTGCTTATCTTAAATAGTCAATGAGAATTGCAGGCTTGAAGAGGTGGGGGGAGGGGGGTGGAGGAGGATTAGGATGAATACTTGAGCCAGTGAGTATCGATGTAGGAGTTTTGTTTTAAAATGAAATATTTTAAGGATAAAATAGTAAAATTCTTGGTCAAGCTTAAAGCGCTTATAAGCTAAAAATTCATAAGCTGAGGGTAACCAGCTTATGGCTTTTGGCTTATTTTTGACTTATAAATACTTGACTTACAAGCACTTTTAACTTTACCCAAATGCGTAGATAAACCTTGGCCAGCTTAGCCAAACACTCTTAAAAAGAAAGGAAATCCGTTGATTAATCTTAATGGTATTATTGTAATTAGTGTCGAAAAGGAGGGTAAAGTAACACAAAATGGGGGGGACGAAGGGGGAGAGAAAAGACAGATGAAAACGGCAAAAGAGGAAAGGGCAGTGAGATAACCCGACGCAGGATTGCGGAGCAACAGACAACGAATCACAATTAACGATATTTACAATTTGTTTGTTTTTCGAATAATTCTAATCACAATGTAATTAATACCAAAAATTAAGGATGCATTTGAAATGGGACACGTCTTCGATAAACCTACCTTTTAGACTAATTCAAATAAATATCTCAGGTTGGTAATTTTACTAATAAAAATTAAAAGTCAAATTTGTATCTTGAAATTAAAAGAAATTTTTTTAGTTGCACATAATACAAAAAAATAATAAGAAGAGAAATTCAATCGATTTAAAATGTTATAAAAGAACTTATGTATTAATTTTAGACTAATTCAAAGTTATATTTTAAAATAAAATGTGATATTATTTTGACTATAGGTAAAATATTTATGTAAAAAGCTAATTAAAATTTCTTAGTAGGGAAAAAAATGTATAAAGAGGAAAATAGAGATAGTGCGAGGATACTTATATTTTAAATTTATTTTAAAAGAAATAAATTAAATTACTAAATAATACTCAAAAATATCATTGATATATTTAAAATTTTAAAGAGTTCTGAGTAAAAGGATAATAGTAATTTATCATAATTTATAGAGAAATTTTCATAAATCACTATCTTTTAGTAGTAATTAGCCATTTATAGATATCATTTGCTATATTACGGGTTATAGATACCTTTTCTGTGGTTATATGATGTATTTGATGTATTTAAGCTATTGTATTCATGAATACAGTAGCAAAAATAGGCGTGAATCAGGGAAGTCTAGCTAATCAGTTGTTGTATTCGAGTGTATTCGACTGTATTCATGGCGTGAAACATAGGATTGACTGGACAGATTACTGTATTCGACTGTATTCACGACGTGAAACAGGGGATTACACTGTTTAAAACGAAAAGTGTATCAATTAACATAATAGACTACTAATATAACTCAACAAATACAATTATAACACACAAAATTTGTATTTTCAGTTATAAAAAAGATTCTCAACTGGAAAAACCCTCAAAAACATAGCAATCTTCAGAGAAAATTATATAATACATCTGAATACATAAATTATATTAATTGAAAAAATATATGAATACATAGAATACAACAGGATACATTGAAATACAATGAAAAAAAAAGACAGTGAATACAATGAAATACATGGAATACAATGAGATACAATGAAATACAATGAAAAAAAAACAATGAATACAATGAAATACAGCGAGATACATTGAAATACACTTAAAAAAGGTAATAGAATCTTCAAGTTGTTCAGCCCTAAATTTCGTCATCTTTGTTCAAGAACAACCCTAATTTTCGTCTCGTTGAGTTGCAGCCCTAACCAAACATCTTTTGCAGCACAAATACTGTTTCATCGTCTTCAAATAACCAAAGCCCAAACTAAATAAAACTTGATTCCAATATTTGGTAGTAACTTGATTCCAATGTTTAGCCGCAACATGAGGAAACAAAATCAATAAGAAAGGCCCGTTTCAGGTGCTGCATCAGTCAACCTATGACTACAGATTGATATGGAAAGAGGAAATAGTAGGCAGTAAGAGCAAGAGTAAAGAATATGGGAAGGCAAAACAAAACTGATACCAAAGTTTTGCCATTTGTATCTACGAGGCATAATTTCGTCATTCAGATAGAAAAAAGGGAGAAAGTTAAGATAAAAACTGTCTGTTTGTTGGATCTTCTTTTTGTTTTCCTTTACTCGTTGGATTGAAGATTACATGCCGGAGACCTAGCGAATTTGGGTGGGAGAAGAGGTATGAATCGTGGGTTTGTGGGAGAAGAGAGTAAAGTATATGCAAAAAGAGAGAGAGAACGTGGTTAGTAAGATTTACTATGATTATGTGAGAGAAAAGACTAAAACGGAGAGAGAAAAATATTATTTAGCATATATGGTGCCTTAAATGTAGGATGTAACTATAATTAGATATTTTGCTATAAAGGATAAAAGATATCTATAGGATGTAATATTTTAAAATGGTATTTATTTAAAATAAATAGGGTACTAAATTTTTCTATTGGACGTAAAATTTCCTAATTTATATCCGTACAATGTGCGGATCGGATACTAATAGTAATGTAGTTAATACCAAAAATTAAGGATACATTTGAAATAGGACACTTCGATAAACCTACCTTTTCCATTTCTGTGACGAGTTTGGCCACTTTTATTCATGATCTCATGTTTGTGCACTCTGGAGCTAACTATTTGTCTATCATTTCTCTGCTCTCTTCTTATTCTGCCCCAATGATATGACTCCTGTCTCATTTTGCTTCTTAAAATTATTACTATAAGAGGTATGATTGGATAAATACTACTTTCTCTGTTTCAGTTTTTTTGAACCTATTTTCTTTTTGGTCCGTTCCAAAAAGAATGAACCATTTCTAAATTTGGTAACAATTTAGCTTAAACATACAATTCTACCCTTAATGAGAAACTTTTATAACCACACAAATACTCTGGGCCCCTTTTTGATTTGTTTAGGACCATAAATTGCAAAAA